TTTTTACAATGGCGCAGGCTCCTGCTTTTAAGAAGGTCACCACCGGCAGCAGCGATTCCTCCTTCCATTTTGTGCAAACGCCTTGCTGATGAGAGAAAGTCCCCTTGAAATGCGGTTCGCGGAAGCTCCGCTACGGCAGAAAAGCTCGGCTGGCAGCGGGCGCGCGGGACCCGAGCCCTGCCCGCTTGCGTGGCGGCGGCTCCTCTTAATAAGCGAGAAGCGCTGGCCGCCGTGCATGATTTGCCTTTGCAAGGCAAGCCGTTCTGGCAGGAAGGGAGGCCGCTTCTCGGAATGGCCGCTGCTTCATAGAGAATATGGCTCCTTCCTTTCCCTTTGTGTGTGTGTGTGTGTGTGTCGGTGCGCTCTGTACTCTGGCGCACACACTCAGCCATTGCAAGCAATGCGAACGGGCGGGGGGGGGAGAGAGAAGTGACTCGTTTCTCCTAAAGCCCGCCAGAACCTCTTTCAGTTTTATTATTTTTTTTATTAAAGCCCCGATTAAATCCGGGAAGGGGGAGGGGGATGCGGTGGGGGGGTGAAAAAAAAAGAGGCAATTTTTTTTTTCACCTGCGGCCGATCTGGACTTTTAAACGGTCGCCGGCGCTCTTTCTCGCCCAGGGAGAAAAGGCGCCTTGAAAAAGTTCCCCTGAACTGCGCCCCCGCCCGCCCGTCCGCCGCGCCTCCCCCTTCCCTGCCTTGCGCGCAAAGCCAGCCCTCCTCTCGCCTTGTTTTCTCTTCTTGCTCTCTACACACGGCTCTCGTCAGCCATGTTACAGCAAGCGCAGTTCCCGAGGTGATTTATCGCCCCGAGGCCAGCAACGCCCAGAAACGCTCCTGCAATTCGGCTTCCTGCGGGCGAGGCGACCCCCACCCCACACACCGCGCCCACTCCCCATTTTTCCTCGGTTTCCCCCCGTTCCCTTCCCCGTTCGACCGACCACGGCTGCCCGTGTGGAGAGTCCGCCGCTTTCTCTCAACCCCCCCCCCTCCAACCCTTCACAGACGCTGCAGCAAATGGCTAAGAGATAGCTCTGTATATCGCCGCGCTATGTATAAGCAGCTTATTCACACTTGGACCGCTTTCCGCCGCCCCGCTTTGCCGGGCTAAAACGGATCGAGTCCTCCCGAGCCCGACATTTACACGGATTTACGGCGTCGATCCCGATCGTGACTGTGGGGATTTTGGGGGCAAGGGGGGTGTCCCAGGATTTATGGTCCCTTATCCCCCCCACTTCTCGAAACTCCCCAGGCGGCTTTATTTTTAATGACTTAACCGCCTTCCCGCCACCCTCCTCCGCCTCCGAGGTGACGAGGGAAAGTGTGTGCTCGGTCCCAGCCCCGATTTCCCCCCTTTGTGTGTGTGGCTGTGAGGAACGAATCCTGCCCCTTCGCACCCCAAAGCCTCACCGTTGCCAGGCTGGGAGCGTTGGCCTCCTCAACTCCGGTTGGCTGCTTAGCCGAGGACCCGCAATATACTTACCCTGTGCCACACTCTCGTACACTCAAGAACCGCAGTTCAAACAAGTCGCAAACACGCTCACACTGGCCACCAAGGCTGCCTGGATCTAGTATGTAGTCCAATGCACTGCAATGGCTGTGAGCTGGATCGATACGCAGCCTCCTCACTCTTCTCGGCACTGGTAACATTACTCTCAACACAGGCTTCTTGTTATTGGCTGCCGCCGAGGCAGGAGCTAAGCGGATTGGAGGAACACCTTCCATTGTCCTGACCAGAAGAGACTGCTGATTGGTCGCGGCGGGAGATACGTCACTTGGGATTGAAAGGGCGCGCAAATGTAAAAATGAGTGGAAGAGAGATGGCTGAGGCGGGATGTACAGCTCTGAGGCTGAAACTGCTGCTCTAGTACAGTGTATGAAGAGAGCGGTTCATAGGCAACGGCATAACTTTCAGTGCAGGCAAAAGGAGCCTTACTGCTTTAACCGCACCGTCACCCGCACCCTCAAATAAACCCTTTTGCAGCCTGAATAAAGGGTTCTAAAAACACTCCTAACACCAATCCAGTCCTTGTTATTAAATACAGAAAACAACAATAAGGGAATCTTTAGTGTGATGCCCTTGTGCTAACTTTAATCAAGCGGCCCATGGATTTTAAGTATACATAACTTGCCAGCTAAATATATTTGGTAGTTTACCTCATTAGATCCAAAAGAATTGATCCAATCTTACAAAATAATCCCATTTCCTATATAAATAAACTGAGGTCTAATTATAAACTCTGGTGGAACACATCTACACACTAAATGTATATTGTTACTATAAAATCCTGGTCTTAATAAGTTTTGAAAACTACTTTTTATACAAATATTCTAAGACAAGCTTTTACATAAGCTTTATCCAGGTAGACAGCACATAACATGACCTAAATAGGAAATCTATGAAATCCTTATATTTTACAGTCATTCAAATTCTCTCTGTGGACCTGCAGCTCAGCTGTGGATTTAAAGAACTGTCTTATTCACAGAAAGTATACTGAGATTCCACTACAAATCTTATTTTAAAGTGATTAAAACTTGCTATATGAGTACTTGCTTTTATTCATAAGCACAATGAAAAGAAGTTATATTTTAATTTTATAATATAAAGACTTCCAGTTTTCAAAATTTGTGCTCAAAATGCAAAATGCAGTAGTTCTCAAATGACTTATTGTTGACGATTTGGCCTTCCACACTTCTCACTTGCTTCTAATAGCTAACATGTTTCCCCTTATGCAGAATCCAAGATCCCTATAGTAGTTTGGATAGGTAATCCAAAGCATTACATACGATTTTAACAATTTATTCTACTCTCACTTCAACCATATCCATGGCATTATGACTGAACAGATCCAATATTTTAAATATGAAAGATGGGGGAGTTTTCAATGACCCAAGCAAGAAGATAGCTGAAGTTCAAATGGAGATAACACAGAAATATGCTTCAAGTATCTTGAATTTCTTCCAGGTAAAAAGGGAAAGCTTTGTACTTGTGACTATCTAGTTATTTGAAGCTAAATCCTACAGTATATGAAAAATTGTTAAATCTACAGTACATCCTTAATATTATCCTTAGAAAGGTTCAATGTAAATTCCTGAAGACAGTGCTCCAAATCTCCAAGTATGTCCCAAATGCCATCCTCTGGGTAGAGGCTGGTTTACTTCAAGAACCTTGTGATTGCTAGCAATTTTTTTAAAATGTTAAATAAAATTTAACTTTATCCAATGTCTCAGGTTCCCTTAATAATTTCTGGCTAATTCCTATTAATCTGGAACCAGAGACTATTGGATAAACTCTCCCAACACCCTACTACTAAAGATTTTCCTGTCCATGAGTTCTGATCAAATGACAATACCTCTTAAACTAGAAAACTTGGATATGGAAGGAAAAAATAAGCTTAATTTAACTCCTAAGACTACTAGGCCTTGGAACTGGAATCTGAAACAAGTCTGCAGCCATCCATATATATTTTACCATTTTGGAATTACCTAACCTGGGAAGAATAATCTCTCAGACCTAAATTAACATTTTCCATCTGCATCTTTACCCTGAAAGCTCAGGGATAGTCAAAATGGTTGAGCAAAATCGCTAAATACAGTATAGTACAGTATATAGAGATGTATATAGTCAACTGTTATACTTGGTAAACTTCCCTGGCTGCCAAGATGAATTCTTCCTTATTTGTGGACAGGCAACCTACTAAGAACTACTAAATTCAAGTACAACAGTTACAGCTAAAAGAAAGGAAGACTGGGGAGACCGACATATGTGAGGCTGCTACAAGGAAGATGGGGAGAAGGACAAATGGACTGGGCAGGCATAGGGCAACTAAAGGTATGCTGCACTTGAATTCAGGTACAATAGCAACAAATGGGAGGTAAGGGAAATAAGGCTGACACACTGGGAATGTGAAAGAGGAAGGAACTAGGAGCAGTACTACTTGCATCAGCCTTGTGCTCATCATCTTGTGCTACTCTTCCAGATTCTTTCTCAGACAAAATGATCCAGGTTTTGTTTTGGATGGACCAAAACCAATCCAGAGTGGGATGGAGACCATTAAATGGCTTGTGTGATCTGCTGTCATCGGGGTGGGAGGTAGGAGGTGGAGGGGGTGATTTTGTTATATTGTACTATATTAATTTATTTGATTCATTGTGTTAGCTTTTATTGTTTTAAATGTGGTTTTATATTCTGTAAGCCACCTTGAGTCACTATGAGCGAACAGGTGGAAATATAAATTCAATAAATAAATAAATTCAATAAATTAATTAATTAAAAACATACTTTTCAGTGCATCAGTTTTTTTCTATTTCATAGACACCTATATTTAAATGATAACAATATTGGGGTCAGAGGTTGTAATATGCAGCGATAATAAGTAACCAGCAAAACTGCTGTGCTATCTTCACTTGTGGAATTTTTACGTTACTACGGGGTATAATTCATTAATATGTTTTATTTACTATAACTTTTATGACACATCCATCAAACCAAGTTACAAGATAAAGGAAATTCCAGCAAAACAATAATATTGTTTTAATATAAACTTTACAATTTAATATAAATTGTAATATAAAATTAAAATTTTCCACAAATTGTCAACCAAGAAGCTGACCCCTAACTGAAGCCATTTTGACCATTTCAGTGTTGCCAAACTGGAGCTGAGGGATAGAGAGGAGAAAATTGAGATAGAGGGGAACATATAGCCAAAACAACATATTTTCTCTTGAGAACCAAGGACATTCTCACACCTGGCCAGAAGGCAGAGTGATGCCAATCGGCTGCCAGTCCATTCTGTGATTGGACCATGTGACTGATTGTTTTGAGAAAGTAGGACAACTTTTACTTTTAATTAGGTGAAAACCACGGGAGAACTCAAAGTCGGTTTTCACCAGATATGTGCCAATATGATAATTCCAAATTAAAAAAAAATAGTATTTTTTGAGGAATATACATGCCTCGGAGTCTTGCTTGTTATTGATTTATTACTTGGAATCCTGACACAAATCTTGCATTATTTCATATTTTTAGATATTTTCTATTATTTTATCATCTTTCCCAGAAGGCTCTCTGAAATAAACAACTATTTACAAGTGTCTTATCAGGGAAGGGGTCTAAATTACTATTGGACAAATTATTCCATCAGAGGAAGTGGGGTTCATAGAGAATGCTTATTTTTTAGCCCCCTTCTCACCAGAATTCCTAGTGATTGGGTATCCAAACATATCTGATTAGTGCAGATTGTTTAGATAGTCTTTAACATACGGCTGGTCACTTAGTGATCATTTGAAGTTATGACAGACCCCAAAAGGGATTTATGATACAAATTTGAAGTTCTAACATCTATCCTCCAGTGAAACCACATTTGGGTCATTTGGCAACCAGACTGCATTTACAGCCATTTGCAATGTTGCATTGTCACATCACCACAATTTACAATGTTTGCTGGAGATCAGGGTTTCCAGCAAAACACACTACATAGCGAATGTGTTCACTTAATGACTGCAGTATTCGCTTAATGACCACTGCAAAAAGGATAATAAAATCAGGTGCAGTGATGTCTGACCATAACTAATGGCCAAAACTGTGGGCTCGAGTATAGTCATAATTCGAGGATTACCTGTATTTGGAGTGTATAGCATCAAAGATACCCACGTCCCAAGCCATATAGACAATAACCAGCACCTTGAATTGCATCCAGAAATAAACTGGTAGACAAGTACAGCTTACATTAAATAGGGATTAAAAGGTTGTACATGGTTTAATCCATTAGTTACAGACAATCATATTCTGTACCATCTGAAATTTCAAGATGGGCCTCGTGTACAATGTGCTGTAGTAGTCCAATTAAAAAATGTCAAAAACACGAGTGACTGTCATTAGAATTCCCATTCCAGGAAAGACTCCTTTGCACAATCATTGACTGGCATTGCCCAGGTAGGAAGAAATGGAATCATAACTGAATAGAATCACAGCTATTTGGAAGGTTGATAATACTGAAAACTGAAGGATTCAATAGTATGAGGAGAATCATGCTTCTCAATTCTATAAGAGGGCACCCATGGTGATTTTTATCACACGCCTAGGTTTCTTGGCTCAAAAGTCTTTATATAATCCATTTCCTTCCGAATTGTTACCATACCACCTTTTAAACAACTTTCTCTAGAAAAGAAAATTTGGAGACTGGACAACAATCATTTAATAAAGCCAGGTGTAAAGACGGCCGCTTAAAGATGGGCAAATAAGTTCTTCTTTTAAAATTAATGATTGGCTTAGTGTTTCCTTCCCATCCCCACAAAGGAAAGTGGCGAGCAATACAAGCAGTGATAGAAAGAGGGTAAAGCTAATGTGATAGTAATAATCTAATTATCTGCACATTGAGTTGAGATTAGGGAACTAGAATTGGGCAGTGATCATACGTGCCAATCTCTTTTCTCCTGTAACAGCTCATCCTTAGTTCCTCCCATACCTCCCACGGCTACTCAGTAATAATTCATTACTGCTTTTCACACTTTCCTACATTCATCTAACAAAACGCCCTAAATTTTACTTCTTTTATAGCACACACCTCTAACCCATCCTTTCCATTGAATGTTCATCTCATTCCAAAGTTGGGAGCCCTCCCTGTTCTCATTTTGAGTGGGAG